ACTTCAAATCTAGGGCTTAGAGTCGAGAAAAATAAGAATCAGGGTTGCAAAGGAAAGATGAGGATCGACCTGCTGAGCAATTTCATGACCGTGTCACACAATTTCAGACGGAACCGGTCTCTCTTATTTTCTCTCTCAGTCTTGTATTTCTTTGAAAAGTTTTGAAAAGTTGTGAATGTGAAAGTGTCCTGCTTTTCCCCATTATGTCATTGAAGAGCATGTAAGACGTGTCAGAAAATCTGGTTATTTCTTACACTCAAATGACTAATTTAACCTAAAAAAGCAGCCAAAGAGAGGCAAGAAGAATATACGGGCTACCATAGATGTTGAGAATGTTGTTTCTAGTAGTGTTTCTTGTTGAAAACAACCTCGAGTGTCATGCGTTGCAAGATACCCCTTTCAATCGTTCGAATTTTTGATCATCGGACAGAGAAGGGGCTAAAATAGTCGTCTAAAGAATAAAGGTTCGACCCTTTTTGCTTAACGTTGCTGTGCTGGTGTCTATAGCGGGATCACAGCCTGATGGAGCTGTGCGGGGCCAGCAGAAGGCAGAATGGGGTCAGGAAACGGGTCTAGAAGGTGGGTTTCGGGTTTTATTTCTGGGTTTTTCTCGTGGCGTTTGAGGTCTCGAGATGTGTTATGCATTGTGATTTTTTCCTACGGTTTTGTTTTACTGATTACGCATTTTGTGTTTGTGGTGTAGAATGATTCGGAGGTTGAATCTGTGGAGCAGGGAAGTGTACTCGAAAAGGCCGGGTCGACCCAACTGTGCCTATTATATGCGGACCAGGTCGTGTGGGCACGGTGTCAAGGTTTGGTACAATCACCCTCGTGATCGCAGCATCTCTGTAAGACTTGTGGTGGAAATTTTTTATTAGTTATTATCTTTTACTTTACATATGCGGTGCAATAATTTGGTGTTCTTAGGCCTTGTTTTTGTTTTCTTACACATTTTAAGCATCATTATGCAGTGTAGTAATCACTATTATTGTATCTTATGTTTTCTGCTCTGTCATTGTTTAATTATGTTTGTAGGGTAATTGTAAATTGATCCTGTGTTCACATAATTCACACTTTGATTTAGCTCTGTTTCTGTAAACCATGGATTCTTCATTGGCCCTAAGGCAGAATGTAGTGTTTGTTGGTCTCGATTTTCAAATGCAGGACTCCAATCATATAGTACTTATTTTTTTGTTTAATAAAAAACTTCTTTGACCTGTGGCATACGGATAGTTTTTGTTCTATTTTGTCTATGTGGTGCAGTAATTTATTGTTCCTTGAATTGTCTGAGGTTTGGTTTGATCTCTTGCGGCCATTTCACCAAGATCTACCTCAACCTCTCTATCATTTTTTTTTTTATTATGTGTGTATTTTTCTATTATTTTTGAGAATCACTTGAAGTAATCTATACATTTTTTATGAATATGTAGGGATTCATAGCTCTGGATTCAAGGATTTCTTGTTGAAGCCAGAACTCTTGAGGGCTACTGTTGATGCAGGGTTTGAACATCCATTGGAAGGCAAGATACTCCATCTGTTTTATAGTTGCATAAAATTTTAAAAAGTGATCTCAGCACATTCTTAGAACATATAATAACTTGGCTTATCTTTGTTTCAATTAACTTTAGAGAATGAGATGTTGGATGTTATTCGAGAATGTTCAGTTTCTACAATTATGAGAAATATACTTATTCCGTACCCGATACCCAATTTGTGGAGCCCTTATGAGTTTCTGAGTAATTTAAAGATCATCAATTTTTCTTTTGGTTCTTGTCACCAGGCTAAAGAGTTTTGCATCAGCATTGTCTTTT